AGGAGTTTTGTGGGATATAGATTTGTCTGATGATTTCCTAATTATTAGACTCAATGTAAACAATGTTGGCAATTCTGCTACAGAGGTATGGTGTCCTCAATTCATTTTATCTGGAGGAACAGGATTTCAGAACATTCCATCATGGGTAGATCAGTTGGCTAAGTCAGTATCTACTAAACTTGATTATTTTTTCCTAATTGTAATTGTGAAGTCATCTAGTGATATCTTTTTCACTAACATTCTTTCACCCATTTTTTTTAACAACCATTGAATTTTCTCACAATGACAGAAATAGTTTCATCAAAGCAAAATTTGAAAACCTGATAAGACTTCTTTGAATGTTCCTATTACAACCTTCATCCCTTTTAATGTTGAAATGCTTGTATTCACTCAACATTTACAGAGCGTTCATGGCAAGCCTTGACCTATGGAATTTTCAGCACAATCTTCATAGTTGTCTAAGTTAATGTCTTTAGAGCATATATTTTTTCTTCAGGATTCCTATTGACAACTGTGCCTGTGTCTTTCCAGATGCCCTAAGCTCAACATACTCCAATGGAAGCTATTGCCTTCACGTCATGACTTGTTCTTCTTGTGTTCTGTGTTCTTCGGTCTAATAATTGCATCTCTATCTCCTCAATGCCCTGTAGTAGAAAAAGATTCCTATGAGTTACCAACTATCATAAGAACCCTCTTCTATATGTGTCAGCATTATCCTATTTAATACTTGAAATAGCCTTAATAAGTAGAAACCATTACCTGGAGAACACTGCTCCCAAGGGAACAGCTGACAGGTCCTCATGGTAGGAGTAAAATCCATTTCTCTTTAACTTCAAAGCCTTTGTTTTAGTTCAGTGACTGAGCATGTCACAGGTTTAAAGAACTGACTGTATCAGCTATTATGGGGGATTGGACAAGACAGGCTAACTCTCAAGTCAATGCTTTTCTCCTTTATAAAGTGGGAAAAGCAGTAACCCTTATTTTGTATGGTTGTTAGGAGAGACTTGAATGAGACAAAACAACAGTGTTAATTCCCAATTTGACAGGATCTGGAATCACCTAGAAGACAAACCTCTAGACATACTCTGAGCCACCTGTGAAGGGTTATGTTTATTAGCTTGGCTGTCGTTGACCCACAGCTGCTTCAAGTTTCTGCTGCCTTGACTTCCCTGATTTCATGATGAACTGTGAGCTTTGGCCTGTGAGAAGAAATAAGCCCCTCTTCTCTTAGGTAACATTTGTCAGGGTATTTTATCACAGCAACTGGAAAAGAAACTACATACTATAGCTCCTCCCAAGCCATACATCCTATGTCATCTAAAATGGCTCCCTTTATTCAATGTTAGTCTCCAAAGCTGTCATTACCTTTGTTAGAAGAGGGGCTAAGAAACCATAGCTCATAGGCCAAATCCAGCCTCCATTTGTTTTTATCAATAAAACTTTATTAGAAAGCAGCCATGCCCATCCATTTAAGTGTGGTCTATGTCTGTGTCCAACCTGTACTAGATACTTTTCTGTTGTTGTGATAGAATATTATGACCTAAAGTGAATTATGGAAGATAGCTTATTTTAGCTTATGGTTCCTGAGGTAGAGTCCATAATGGTGGGGGAGGCATGGCAGCAGGCAGGCATGGCAGCTAGAGCAAGAAACTGAAGAGCTCACATCTTCAACCACAAACATGAAGCAGAGACAGCAAACTGCAAGTGAGCAAGACTCTGAACTCTTAGAGCCTGCCCCAAGTGATGCTTCCTCCAGCAACGTCACACATCCTAAAAGTTCCATGACCTCTTCCAAACAGTGTCACCAATTGTTTAAGTGCTTGAGCCTTTGTGGACGTTTCTCATTCAAACCACCATACACCATAAACTTGCAGAACTAAATAGCGGCAACAGAGATCATATGGTCGGCAAAGCAGAATATATTTACTATATTCTTTACAAAATGTCTCTAAACTCTTCGTTTATAGAGTAGTGTAGTAAACTCCTTCCTGAGTTTCCTGTCTCTAACTCATCTCTTCTTGAACTCATTCTCCCTTTCTTTCTGGGAAAGGAGGAATTTCCCTAAAGTGTGATCTTGGTTGTGTTTCACTGGCCTTCTCTGGAGCATCAGCTCCCACCTGCTAGCCTGGTCCTCTAGCACATGCTGTTCTTTTTGTTTGAATACTGTCTCTTGCTGTTGCCCTCAATAATGAGTCCAAGTTTTTCTTCCTCAAAGATTTTCCTGATGTTCACATCTGAGTTCACGGTTTCTGCTCCTCTATGGCTTGAGAAATACCTCAGCTCTATTATCTATCCCATTTCTCTCTACCATGACTACGGGTCATAGTGTTCTTGCCACTGCTGTGAGCTCAGGAACATATGTTTTTCACGTTTTAAGTCTCTAGTGCTGGTCTGGGATTTAACCCACAGTAAGTGCACATTAGATTGTCATTGCTTACTGGCAGTTGAGTTGGAGTTTGAAGGCTTCTATAAAATGCAAGGGGGTTTCAGAAAAGAGCTATGTCATGAGAGGCTTTTAAGGGGGTTATGGCAATGTAGCTAAAACCTAGAGGAGAGGAAAGGAGGAAATGAAACAAAGGGAGAAAAAGAGGCATTAGGAAGCGTGTATAAAAGCAGCGAGAAGACCTGAAAGAAGCATTTGGGGAAATGATATACAAAGAAAAGCCATGTGGATGGGAGTGCCAGCAGACTGGCCCTAAGGGAAACATAAGGCCCCTGGACTATAGAGCTGCTTCTGGTGAGGTGTAGGGACAACAGGAAACCAGGAAAACATGAGACATCATCCTGTAGCTGAACTGTCTGCTCCTGTCAGTCTTCTAGAAGTTGCCTCAGCATCAAATCTTGTCATCTTGACACTTCCAATCCCACATACCACACACACATAATTCTTAGCATGCTATTGGTTCTCAATAAATATTTCTTTCATCCTTGAAATATATGAAAATACCCCAGAATTAAAGGAAAATTTCAATGTTTAGTATTCTAAATAATGCATTATAAAAACTTACGTATTTAGTATTCTAATATTTGATATACACTAATATAGAATACTTAAGCATCTAAACACTATTTAAATAATTCAGTATTATTAAAAAATCATAGTATTTAGAGATGAATATTTGTCCTGTGTACAGTTTTCATGAGTTTAATAAATCTGATCATATTTATATTAATTTTGAATTTTATTTTTGGTGGTGGTCCTGGGGATTGACCCTAAGGGCCTCTTCCATGCTAGGGAAGCACTATATCAATAAGCTTTAGCTCCATCCTTAGTTTTGAACTTTTATGCTTAAAAAAGTCCCATTATTTAAAAAAATCTATTTTCTTGTGGAAGGTTTGAATATTTTGGGTCGTTTGGGTTGGCATTTTCTGGATCTTCTCCAATTCATTGCCTTTGTTAAGGTTTTTAAGAACATCTAAATTCTTTCTCAATTGGCGGAACCATAGAGGCAGTTTCGCTGCTTCTTCTTCCTCCGTGTGTGTGTGTGTGTGTGTGTGTGTGTGTGTGTGTGTATGTGTGTGAGTGCGTGTGAGTGTGACTGTGTGTATGAGTGTGTGTGGTGTATGTGTGTGTGTGTGTGTGTGTGTGTGTGTGTTTCATTTCTTTTGATATTTTGATTTTTTTTTTCTCAACAAAATCAAAATGCTAAATGGAGTTAGGCAAAGTGAACTCATGTTTGTGGAGCACACCAAGAGGCTCTTAGAGGATGGTGCCTCACAGCTGGAATACAGGCTTTAGGAATGCTTCTCACAGACAATTTCTTTCATCAGCCCCAGGACTCAGAAAGCTATCAATGGAGATGTTAATGAAGTGACTGGGTGGTTAAACATAACCAGATGACTGAATAAAATAGGGATTGGGATTTAGGAGGACCCTGCACTCCAGGAAATTTTATTCTCCAAGACTCCATTTATCCATGTCCTCAGGGTGAACACAGAACTTCAGTTTCAAATTGAGTACATTTTCCATCCATGGATTTGCTTGTTTTGTTCAGTTTTACTTTGAGTGTTTGAGGTTGTCTTTTCGACGTAACAGCTAAACCCACGGCTTCCTTTCTCGTAAAACCAAAACAAAAAGACTCTCTATTCAGGTGCTCTGTGTGTGTGGCACACATATGTAGCACATACCTGGGATCAAAGCTGTCTATATAAAGTCCTTGAATCTGTGTGGGTTCAAACAGATTTCAAAGCTTCAGGATCCTGAAAGATTTTGCTCTGCTTCCTGTGGACCTGAGTACCGTTCCCATAAAACCATGACTTTTCTGGGGGTCCAGAGGTATGACTCTCGACTGGAGCTGCCTTCCAGGACCTGGCCCTATGTGGTCCTATTTGCTTTGTTCTTCATCCCTGTCCTGTCCAAAGGTGAGTGGAGACTTCTGGAGGATAAAGGTGGAGGAGGTGTTTTTCCTACTTGGGTTTCAGTTAGGGACAGTGATTTGCAGCAAAGACCGAGGTGAAAGGTAAATATCTCTTGACTTCATGGCTCTGTGTTCTAAGGCAAGTAGAAGACAGCCAGATGCAGCATATCAAAGGAGACATAACTCCGAGCAGAGGCTGGGCTTCTAAAGCAGAGGCTTAAAGAACACATGAGCTGGTTTGGGAAAGAAGAACAATTTCAGATAGGTCTATATCGTTGGAAGAAAATGCTGTAAAATGAAGGGATTTAAGAGGGAAAGGGCATCCACAATCCTGAATACATTTGATCTTGATATCACAGTGAATGACTTCAAGATTTTAAAGATTTTTCTCTTTAAAAAAAAACTAGACATAAACCAATTATAGGTAGAATACCTACCTCACTCAGTTCAAGTGTTTGAGATATTATTTATTCTTTAAAGTAGTTAGCTAGTTATTTGAAAGATGAAATAATTTGTAATTGAAGAAAGAAAGGGGATATAGGAGAAAGGAAGAAAGGAAGGAAGAAGGAAGGAAGGAAGGAAGGAAGGAAGGAAGGAAGGAAACCACGGGTCTGTTTTTGGCATAACATTTTGGGGGGGGCATAAAATTCTCAATTGTTCTCTTA